GTTGGTCGCGGAGGAGGTGGACTTTGGCGATGCTGTCGTCTAGGGATGCTTGCTTGAGGAGGGTAACAAGTTGGACAAGAAGTTCCGATATAGTGATGAAGATGAAGTCTTTGCATAGGCTGCTGTAGAAGGCATGAGGGCCCTGGTCGAGGTAGGTATCATACTGTTCTAGGAGGCCGCTATCGAGGGAGTCGAAGAGGGTAGTGGTGCCGACGGTTTTCTCGGATGAGTCGGCAGTATAGGCAGGATGGGGAGTTTGGAGTACGTCATGCTTCTTGAGTATTCGCTTGAGCTGACGATGCCAATTGGTGAGGTTGTCATCGCCGGTAAGCTTGGTAGCCGGGTAGTTGCTGGAGTATGTGAGAGGCTTGCCAGTGGTGGCGCGACTGTCAGGGATATTGTGCATTTGATGGGAATCGTGGTGTGGAGTGCCAGGAGTGCCAAGGAGTGGGGAGTCTGGGCGAAATCGGGGTGGGGTGAAGAGCGGGGTTTTTAATCTTGCTCTGAGCAACCTGGAGTTGTTGGCGGAGATTGTGGAAGTCGGATGTAGCGAGCTCAGCCTGGAGAAGAGTGAGTTCATCGCGAAGCTGGGTGGCGGCAGTGGTGAGGTCTTTGTTCTCTGCGAGTGCCTCCTGTAGAAGCTGGGAGTGTTCGTGTTGCTGTTGGGCGAGGTTGGCACGGTGTGCGTTGCAATCGGAGCGCAGGCGTTGAATGTCGGCTGCAGCGAGGGCATAGGCTTTGCGGAGGGCAGCAGTGTGAGCGGCATAGAGGTGAGTATCAGAAGAGGTAGTGGACTGCTCCTTGGCTTGGATGAGCTCGACGCGGGCCTCTTCGCGTTCTTCGAGGTATGTGTCACACTCATGGCGGATGCGTGTGAGATCTTTGTGCAGTGCAGTGGGTTCGGTGGTTGCGTTGGTGCTGATGTCTTGTGTGCGTGTGAGATCGCGATGAAGAGCGTCACGTTCGAGGGCGATGGCATTACAATCGAAGTGCGCCTGATCACGCTCAGCGATGAGGGCAGATCGTTCAGTGTGAATGCGATCAAGATCGGTTGTGAGCTGATCACGTTCAGTGATGAGTGCGCCTCGTTCGTTGCGGATGCGATCGAGATCAGTGGCGAGTGAAGTCTGTTCTATAAATTGTTGATCACAGTCAGCGCGGGCTAAAAATCGCGAGCGGTATTGGCAGTGTTGCATTCGGTGAGAATTGTGTGGCGTTCGTGGCGTATGCGGGCAAGGTCAGTATTAAGATTAGCAATGGTTGCAGATTGTGTAGCGGATTCGGTGCAGAGGGTATCAAATTCAGTAGATAGGGCGACACGGTCATGTCGAACACGCGTGAGGTCAGATTGTGCATCGGTAGTGGCCTTGTGATATTTGTTGCGGTCGGTGATAGCAGCGATTGCATCAAGTTCTGAGAATGCGGCATGTGCGCCTAAGTAGATGGCGGTGTTGTTGACGTGAGGGTTGTCGTTGGTGTCAAGGATGGCAGAGAGGATGGTGCGGACAAGTTGAATGTGATTGTTGGCATGGAAGATATTGGTGTATGGCTGAAGTGACGGGAAGAAATCGCGTTGGAAGCGTTGGGCGCTCTCAAAGGATGGGAATGTAGTGATGGGGATTTGGCCCGTGGGTGGAGGGAGTCGCATGGTGATAGTGAAGCAGAGGGGTAGTGAGATCAGGGATCATAATGACGATCAGAGGAACAGAGGTTGTGAGATCAGGTAGTGAGATCGAGATCAGAGTGGCAATCCAAAGATCAGATGTGGGGAGATCAGAGGGGAGAAGCTCGGGTGGAAATTAAGCGATGTATATAGGGTATATAAGAACAAATATGTTCGATATAGGCCCATAACCTGTAGGAACATATATTTGCTAAAGAAGTAAGTTTATTATCATATTACATATTGGCTATATAGTATAATAATTACCATGTGCCTTTTTAAGATATTATTACAATTATTCGGCCAAAATATAAGCAGTAAAATATTTTGGGCCTTGTAGGGTTTTTAGGGTTTGAGTCTTATAAATTCGTCTCAACATAT